ATTCTGGACTTACCACTCTCATCAACCAATTCAGCGTAAATGCTTGTGTTGAGTAATGAGTACCATAGTGGAACGCTGGTATTGTTTCGTCCTCCCATGATGTGTATCGCTCTTGGAAGAATTTACGCCGAGACTCTGACAATGCGCCGATAGGCTGAAAATGAAAGTAAAAACTATTCTGAACAGCTGATGTCCTAGTGATGGGCCAATCACAGGTTGCGGATGTCTTACCTTGGACAAATCTCTGAAGTTCGCCGCCACATTAAGATCAAGCGTCTCGGATGTGTAGTTCGTCAAAATCCATGGGAATACAGGATACTGATTCAAATCGTTAAAGGTTCGACCCGCTACCGTATTCAGGAACATCAAGTAGTCAAAGTTTGATATTTCTCTCTGAAGTTCAAGAGTGTCATGTTATAAGCTGGAAATTCTAATCATTTTCCATCTAATCTAACCTTTTGCCACTTCAAGCACATGTCTGAGTGTTTAAACAGCTGTCTAGGAGTCATCAAACTGGTCTTTCGGCTTTGGGGCAAGCCATATTTCACACCGACGCCAACTCTTGGCAATTGATACACCACATTTCTTACAGTCTCTTGGTCAGGGAAGGCAAACATGATGGCCGCTAAACAAGATTTTCAATGTTTGGAAGATGAACAAATACGAAAACAAAGGAACTTACTCCTGGTTGCAAGGAACAGCTCCAAAGCGATATTCTGCAGCAGATGACGTCGCAGGAATACAGCTCGGATTTCTTGCAAATTCCATCGTCCATGCAATGATTCGCAATATCGTAGAACCTGCAACATAAGGGCTAAAGACAACGAAGCCAACAAAGAAACACCTATGAGGTCGAAATATTCAAAGGTTTTGTTATTCAATCTTTTGCGTTCCCAAAACTTAGTGCGAGGCCGTCGCAAAATCTGCCTTTACCTGTCACATCACAACTTGGCTGCAGGTTAAAATGTGACAAGGCTGTGACGAATTCATTCACACCTAGGTGAGAGTATAAGTGGAACCAGCCGTACACCGGCAACTGTCAGAAATTACACACAAAAGCAACATGCATTTCAAAAAAAATTTCCACAATGTTTCTCTAACCTTCTACTGTAAAGTTTAAGTGACTGATTTGATAAAATTAGAATAAGTTGCTTTATCATTTCCTATCACGCTGATGAATGACATTGGAAAGCAGTTTGCATCGCATATACCGTAATCCTACAGTAGGACACCACAGTACAAAATGTATTTATCCATCTTATCGGAAAACTGGAGAATCGTTTGCCTGATACCCTATGCAAACACTTTTCGTGATTCTGCACTATGTGTGCTTCGTGTGTACTCGATTTTATGCGAAATTTAATAAAAATCCAGACTCATCTCTTCACATCTGGTCTATATGA